CTACCAGACTCGGGTGTCAGCGCCGCAGGCCAAGGTAGATGTATGCCAGGCGCGTCGCAGCGTAACAGTGTTTCGTGAGGTATCGCGAAGCCTGTTACGCGAGACGTGGTCTGGCGTACATCTACCTTGTTTTTTTAAAAAAAAATTATGGTTTTCTAAGGGTTAACTTATCAAAGTAGAGCCCTATGGGCGAAAATTGTGTCCGTTCTGCCCTAGCTCAAACCATTGAGGTGCTAGAGGGTATTTTTGACGAAAATAGGCCAAAAAATGTTCAACCCTGCATGCTTTGTCGCGGTGATTGACCGTTGACGGACCGTAGTGTCGCGATGCGTCAAAAATATTTCGTTTGTCTGCCGCCGGGAGGGTAGGCAGCCAAGCTCCCACCACTCCTCTTTCCCGCGCGCCAGCTTCCGAGTCAGCACTCCCACTCCACAGCAGACGACGCGCTGCGCCACATCTCCGCCTGACGGGCCGCCACGCCACGCCACGTCACCGCAGCGCTCCGCTCGCCAGTCATCGGTGGGAAGCCAAGCCGGCCAGTTGTCGCTCCGTCACAGAGGACATGATTATACTCACACTCATTTTGGAGGCCCTCAATTGTGCTTCTTCCCTAGCCCTCTTGGTGGGGGGGAGTATGGGCTCGGCTGCCCCTGCTGCCAGTTGTTCTGGGGACCGCTTCTTGCCTTTCCCCCGTGACCCCCTCTTCTTGGGTTTTGGCGCCTGTGAACAAAACCAACAGTATGATCAAACACACATCAGACGAAGCCAGGGCACGCTGCCCGCCCTCCGACACCTCTCCGACACGACGTGCGTCTCCACCACTTCGACGCGCTGCCCGACATGCCCGCCCTCTACCACCTCATCCTGCACGACGCTGTCCTCGAGCTTCGTCAGGCCGACGCCCTCCACCACCTCATCCTGCACGACGGTGTCCTCGAGATGCTCGCCGCCCTCCCCCCCCACCTCATCCTGCACACAAGTGGCACGCTCAGCACCGCGAACCGCAGCATCTCCACTAGCACATCGTCTACTTCAGGTTCAGCACCAGCAGCACCTGGAGGGACACGACCCGCAGCAGGAGCGACATCACCAGCGGCACCCGGAGGAGCTAGGACATGACCGGCACCTGGAGGGACACGACACCAGCTCTCCGCCCGGCCTCCCGCACGAGGCCAACGAGGAGCACAACAAAGGGACACAGCCGCGACGGACCTCTGCATCCACATGAACGACGGCGCCATCAGGAGACCCGGGGGAGCTAGAAAATACTAAAAAACAAGAATGCACATATTTACGGGCTGAAAGTCCTCCTCGCTGATGTCCGAGACGGGGAGCGGCGGCACACCGGGGGTGTCTATGCACACCAACGGGGGCAAGTCCTCGACGGCGGGCGTGATCCTCTCGTATGGAGCTGGAGGGGCGACGACGGCGGCCTCCGCGATGGGGACGAGGGGTGGAGGGCCCTCCCTCAACTCCACCAGCGCGTCGGCCGCGTCCAGGATCATGACTTCCGTAACATCCAAATCGTGGAAAAAGTCGCGCGCAGCGACGGCGCGCTCACGCAAACCCTCGATGGGGTTCAAAGATTCCTCCTGTAATAATAGGAAAGCCAGTGTCAAAACTCGCGATTTCTCGGCTGATCACGCGAGCGCTCGTATGAGCCGAATGCGGCTGACCCCAACATAGCGGCCCTCGTGTGAGAGGTGCGCAGAGCTTCGGGCTGGTATCGCCTGGGCCAGGGACACCCCGAACGAGACTACTCCCTCCGCTGAGCGCGCGTCGGCTCGCCTGCA